TCAATACTTTCAATTTCTTTCCCAACCAATTAGCTTCCTGTTTTTATTATCTTCTTGTAAGAATCCTCTCTAGGACAGTATTGTGATCTTGCATCTTTTAATGCTAAAGACTCTATGAATCAAGGATCCTAACCTCATCAAAGCAAATAATTATTTGAGATATAGTAGTAGTCAAATTAAGTAGTATATACCAAGAAAAACATTCAAATTTTGAGAGTGCAAATAAATAAGGCAAAAATTAGAAGGAATGCAGATTCATTCATTGAAGAATTATGGATTTTTGAGGGAGACCAGAAGGGAAGAATCGAATGCAATCTCATTTCAGAAGGGCCACAGAGGATACAAATTATGAAGCTTCCAGGATACACTTGCACACATTTCTGTAAAGTTAATTCTAGCCCTCGTGGTCCACAGTAAAGCTACTCCTTTCGTAGGGAGGTAACCAAACTGTCCCAGCAATTGTGACAACTAGATTATCAGGTGCTTTTGGGGGAGGGGTCGGTGATTCCAAAACCTCTCTGCTGCAAGTAGGTTTTAGCAAACTGATCTTAAGACAAAAAGAACAAAACCCAGGAAATCTAAGTTCTGGGACTTCACGAATTACGGTGCCTTAGTGTATACAATCAGGCTGAGAACGGAGCGAGCAAAGGATGCTTCTTTAAGCGAAGGATCTCGAAACTGGCAGCAAGAGAGTCATCAGCACATTCGTTAGGACGGGGAGGATTCGGGAAACGGTCTTTTAGGTGCAGAATACAGCCACTAACCGGGGGAGGTACAAGGATTTGGGGAGCAGCAACACAGGGGCTGGCCATAAACGCATCCCACGATTCCGGGAAGCTGCGATGGGGGCGGCTGCCGGCCACGCGGTAAGCGCAGGTGAGCTGGGTGAAGTCCCCAGCCTTGCCGCCGCCGGCTCCCGGCTCCCCACGCAAGGCGGGGAGGGAGGGGCCGCCGGACGGGCCCACGAGCCTTCATCCCTCTCCCCGCCCCCACACCTACCGTGGAACTCGAAGTGCCCGATGCTCTGGCCCTGAGCGTCTCGGGCCGCGGCGCTGCTGAAGCTGCCTCGCAGCGTCTTACCCTGGCTGCCGGGTGGCCACCAGCAGCAAGTGAAGGCCACCGCCAGCAGCCGCAGCCCCCCCATCCCCGCCTCCTGCTCGGCACTCACACCCCTGCCCCTAACCGCCTGTGACCGCGGCCCCACGTCTACAGCTTGAGATGGGGAGGTGAGGGGAGAGGGACCGGCGTCGCGGGCCCGCCCCCGAGGGTCTAACAGCCAATGAGGGGGCCCCTCCACCACGAGCCAAGGATACTCACCAATCAGAGGCTGAAATGGGCGGGACTTCAGGTCTGCAAGTCCCATCACTCCCCGGCCTTTTGGCTAGTTCCCGCCTTTTTTATGGAGACTCAGGAGGATGTTGCTTCAGGTTACGGAAAAATTATTGCCCTCCTCTCCTCCGCGCGCGTGGTGCCATTGCGCATGCGCGGGCGCGCGGAACGGGCCCGAAAGGTTTCCGGGGAAGTGTGGGATACGAAAAGGACTAAGAAACACACAACAGCAACGTTTCTGGTGAGGCGAGGAATACTCCAGCAAAGAAAGCCCTACGTGCCCATGTAACGTACTGGACGTTTCCAATTTAATGTCTCAAAAGCACCTAACTGCCCCTGTCCATTTAACGCCTGGCCTCTCGGCACCTTCAACCGACTTTTACCTCCTAGGTTTCCTGTCTTCTTGAGCTATGCCATCATCCAACAGGCCAGACAGCTGAAAATTATAGCGACACCGCCCCCCCCCTTACCACCACCCCTCATACCTCTACATGCAATCAATTCAATGAAACAAGTTTGTTAGTGCCTCTTCTGGACGGTTAGGTTAGGAAGTGCCAGCCACTATTCTATGCAGGCCACCATCTTACCATTATTTACTTGGCCTATGGCAACTAACCTGGCAACAGTCTATTTTCTCGAAGTGGTTACACACAGTCTATCTCTAGCCTAGTACCACAGAAAGCGTTGGGAAGCGCAGTATGACTGTATCGCTTTCCTTCAAAGTCTCTCAGTTGCCTTAGGACATAACCCAAACTCTTCAGAATATGACTTTCAAGTCTCTCGAATTTGCATCTTTCAACAGTTGATGTCCATCCTTACTGAGCCACTGTCAGTTTGCTAAACACACTCCAAGTTCTCCCTTCTGGGCCTATAGCACTTGCAGATTCCTCCTGCTGGAATACTTCACACATTCTACCATTCAGCCTCCACTTCATCTCCTTTTCCTACTTTACTTTCCCAAGGCACGGTAAGAAGCCTTTCTCAAACCCTCACATCTGTGTTAGATACCCCTGGTACCAGAATCCCTTACTGCCCTACCAGGGCAGTTACCACACTATTTTGTAAATGTCTATTGATTTATCTGAATCCCTTACTATATGGTAAGTGCCAGCTGGTCAGTGACTATGTCTGTCTTGATGAGAGTAGAAGCTCAAAAATCATTTCATGAATAAATGTATATAAATTATTTTCACTTGACAACAAGCTTTTATTACATATAATCAAGTTCTCACAACAGACCTCATCATTTAGAAAAAGAAATCTTGAGGGAACATTTCATATATACCCAGCGTTTTCTATATCTCTGGATGACCAGGAATAAACTGGAGATATTAATATATGAGATTTTTATTTATTAAAATATTTATTAAAATATTTTATTTATTCTTAATTATAAAAGTAATTATGCAGCTTAGAAAAAAATTCAGTCAGAAAAGTACGGGGGAAAAAAAGTATGAAGTAAAAATTGAAGTCCTCATTTCCTTCTTTCCCTGCTCATACGGATACCCAAAGGTAACTCCTTGTTAATAGTTTAGGGTGGATCCTTTAAGATGTGCATTTACAAATTATGTGGTGTTTGCAAACCAGGACAGGAATAAAATTGGTCCTGAAAAAAGTCTGAACATTGGCCTTGAATACTGTGAATATTTCTTCTTCTCTTTCTTCTCTTCATAATCAACTTTGTTTTTCTCTCTCACTGAAGACAGGCTTCTTCTCTTTTTTTTTTTTTTTTTTTTTTTTTTTTTTTGGTACGCGGGCCTTTCACTGTTGTGGCCTCTCCCGCTGCGAAGCACAGGCTCCGGACACGCAGGCCCAGCGGCCGTGGCGCACGGGCCCAGTTGCTCCGCGGCATGTGGGATCTTCCCGGACCGGGGCACGAACCCGTGTCCCCTGCATCGGCAGGCGGACTCTCAACCACTGCGCCACCAGGGGAGCCCCCAAAACAGGCTTCTTGATTCGTTTCATTTGAATGAGTATAGCTACCAACAAGTTGCAAGTTTTTATAGGTCCTCAGATTTCAAGAGCAACCGCACTATGCTAAAACCTCAGTCCAATTCCAAATCCCAGGAAGAGGATTCAGCTAGCCTATGGTGAGTCAGATGCACATCCTGTGGTCTGCCTGGGTGGGTCAACTTGGGGAGATGATAAAGGGTAGGGAAGTCTGGTCAGATAGAACAGTAAGTATTCACTACAATATATTTTGGTCCTCATTCCATGTTGGTACATTATTTTTTTTTTATTTATTTTTTTTGGTACATTATTTTTAAAGGCTATATATCAGCCCATTGCATTGAAGAAGTGAGACAATACTAGTAGGCATTTAGATTGTATCCAGTTTTTCATTATAGCCATGAACATACTTATGTTTTTCTGCAATTATCTATATTATACATCATGAAATTTGGGGATCATAGAGTGGTGTGTACATCTGAACTTTTCATTATGTTACCACTTGGCCCCCCAAAATGGTTGTAACAAATGACACATCCACATATACTGGGTATTCCCATTCTTCTTAGACTTCACCAGCACATTATGTGGAAAACAAAAACAAAAAACCAAGATATTTATTCATCTGAATAAACAGTATTTACTGATGGTTTATTCTGTACCTGGCCTGGTCCTGAAGCCTTGGGATTATAGCAGGAAACAAAACAAAGGCCCTACCTTCATGGAACAGTAACAATGAGCAATTCAACATAAATGTTGAAGATGGCTATGGAGAAAAATAAAGAAGGGTAAAGTGGCTCGGCAGGGCTCAGGTACAGCTTGCTATTTTAACTGGAGTGATGATCAAGGAGGGACTCTCCACTAGGGTGGCATTCAAGCTGATACCTGAAAACTAGGAAGACATCTGAGGAAAGTGCACCCAAGCCCAAGAGAAGAAGCATGCCTGGGAAATGCAAGGAAGACCAAAGGAGGGCAGGGAGGCTGAGGCAGGGTGGGCAGTAGGGAGAGAACAGTAGGAAAGGATCTAAGGATAGGATCTAGGGAACATCTTTACCACGACTGCAAGCGGCCTGCACTGTCTGTAAATGGTGCCGACGAGAAAGTAAAAGGCCATTGTGGGGCTTCCCTGGTGGCGCAGTGGTTGAGAGTCTGCCTGCCGATGCAGGGGACACGGGTTCGTGCCCCGGTCCGGGAAGATCCCACATGCCGCGGAGCGGCTGGGCCCGTGAGCCATGGCCGCTGAGCCTGCGCGTCCGGAGCCTGTGCTCCGCAGCGGGAGGGGCCGCGACGGTGAGAGGCCCGCGTACCGCAAAAAAATCAATCAATCAATCAATGCAAAGAAAATCTAAGAGTAAAACAGAAAAAAAAAAAAAAGGCCATTGTGCAATTCCAACCTCCCATCTCCACAGTTTGCAAGAAGAGAACTAAGAGAACTGGAGTTCTCAGCTCAACCGGTGAGTAATCTGTGGAGATCGCTGTAGTTCAAGAATGAAAAGAAGGTAATCATTCCTAACGCCGACCACATGTGTAGCTAAGTAAAGCCTAATCCACGGTGGTGTCATTTGCCCCGGAACCTTTAAGACCCTACTTTCCCAGCTACCCCAGTCACTCCAATCCTCCGAGGTGTTGGCAGAGAAGAGCTGCGCCTGCGCAGTGGCGCTGCGCGGACCGCACACCCGGAGGCCCCGCCCAGCCGTCAGTGGGCGGGGACAAGTCAGCCCGAGCCCCGGAAGCGACTGCTGCCTGCCCCGTTAACGTGTCGGGGGAGGGAGACGCGTCGCAAAAAGTCGTAGTGGAACTTCCTTACGATCTACAAACGTGGCGTTTTACGGTTCCAGTCCTTGCTGAGCTGGGAGATGTCGGCTGCGGGACGGTCCGAGCCCTTGCGTCCTCCCAACGGCTTTGCGAAGCGGGTCCTGGTGACCGGGGGTGCTGGTTTCATGTAGGTAACGGCGCCGCTGGCAGAGTAGTGGCTCCCCAGAAACCCCAACCTTTCCCTGCGCCTCTGTTTGCCCTTGGCAATTTGGGATCAGCTTCGGGGATCTGATTGACGGGGGAGGGTCTTAACGCACGACTAGGATCATCCCACTTTCTCTCCACTTCCCGGCCTGCGAAGACGTGCGTGGCTCCTTTGAAACGACTTCTTTTAAACGCCTCCCAAACTAAGCAAAAGTGCTGTGGTACTGTCCACGTTTCTACCTGGCCCGAGAGGTACCTGTCACTCTTTTGAGTGCGCCCCCTTTGCAGTAAGCTTCTCACCAACTGCCCCAACCCGAGCCAAGGGCCCACGATACACAGGCCTTGGACGTATAGGCTCCATGAACCGGTTTTGGGATTATGATAAGGGTTTCATTTATTTAGCAGACTTAAAAAAATCCTCTGTCGGTGTTTTGACCTGTACTAGTCGTTTGAAGCCTCTTTCCCTCTCACACCCATATTTAATCAGCAAGTCTGCTCTCCTTCCAAAGAGACCACTTCTTATCCTCCTCCCTTGTTCTACCCTAGCCCCTGTTAATGTCTGCTTTTGCCTAGACTGCTACTGTAGCCTCCTGATTGGTCACACTGCTTCTACTCTTGTTCCCTTAAAGCCTGTTCTCACGCACAAGTCAGTGTTTATTAAGTAAATAAGTGCGTAATTTCACTCCAAAGATTCCTGTCGGACTTAGAATAAAATGTAAACTCTTTACCATATCTGGAAGACTCTCAGGTGTCAAAGCTCAAACCGGATCCCTTATCCTTCCACCTCTTGCTTTTCTGGGCCTCTTGCAGTTCCTGGCACCCAGGAGGCTAGTTTCCCCTATTTTGAGGCCTTTGAAATTGCTTCCTCTTTGCTTAGGCTATTTGCATCACTCAGTTCAGATGTTTACGCAGAGGTCACTTCCCCCCGGCCTTAGCTGAGCACCCTATCTAAAATAGCCCCTCTCCCAACTAACACACTTATCACTACCTGAAACTATATTGCATATTTGTGTTTACTTGCTTATTGCCTGCATCCCAACCCTAGGATGTAAACCGAGTGAGGGCAGAGACTGTGGTTCCCTCAACACCTGGAAGAATGCTTCCCCCCCACCATTAGTATACTAGATCACCTCTTCCAATCTGACAGTGGTTTGGAGGAGGGTACCAGGCAAGTTTCATTTAATGAAAAGGGGAGCATGGGCATAAAAGGGTGGAACAGTGCTGGTCCAGGAAAGGTACGTCCTAGAAAGTTCTGTGAAAGGGCTGTCAAGTTCAAACTCTGAATTTATAATTTGTTCCTAGGAGCCCAACGTTTTGGTGTATATGATAAAAATCTGGTGGATCATCTCACTGAGAGATGCCTCTGGCTCCATTTCAGGGTCCTCTAAAACCCACTGTGCCACTAACTTCAGGATGGTTTCAGCAGTTCTTAGCCTTGGAAACCTAGGTTTACCACTTTACACCACCAAATTCTTATACTAAGAAATAGCAATTGCAATAGGCTACTGTGAACATGGACAACTCCTATGCTCATAACAGCTTAATTTTTACATAGTTTATACCTGCAGTCTCTGAAAAGGCACATTGTTGTTTAAGTCCATCTGCAGTGAACACCAGCCACTGTATTTATGATACTGCTTCATTTGGTTAATTATTTTCTTATACCCAGGACCAGTAAATTCTCTCTTCACCATAGTGTAAAGGGAGTGTAAGACTTTGTATATCAGTACTGTTGAGAAGATTAATGAAAAGTGTGGATGTGTATATATTCAGCATAGTTATATCATTTCTGTTATCTTGCAACAATTTGAAGGTATCTTTGAATAGATTCCTAATATTCAACAACTTAGGATAACGTTTGAGAATTTAAGGAAAAGGTTAAATTTTCTGCTAACAAGATACGCTTTTCTCTATAGTGCATCACATGTGATTGTCTCCTTAGTAGAAGATTATCCAAACTATATGATCATAAATCTAGACAAGGTAAGTTTTATAAAAATGAGCTCTGTGTTTAAAAAAAAAAGAGCCCTGTGTGCTGGAACTTATTTATATTTTTAAAAAGTATTAGAGTCCTGTCCTGCTGATATCTTAGTTTTTTATTTAGTCATTTTAGCAGCTTAGGAGCCTATATAGTCATGTGTTCATACAGTTTGCAATCTTACATAAAGTCTTGAAACTTTTAAATTTGTTATGATAGCCCATAACGTAAAGGTTTTAAGTGCAGTATTTTTACTAAAAGAAAATCTTCACTCTGAATTCAGTATTTAGTGTAATCTTGTGATTATTAACATTTTTTGGCATTGAGGTATTCTGATTATTTTATTATATGATTTTATAACTGCCACCTCCTGAAAATTATATATTTTAAAAACTAAAGTGCACGTAAATTAGTTTAGTTTTGAGAATTTTTCTGTAATAATTGGAAGTTCCCTGGAGATTCTGAAAGCCATGATTGGTAATCACTGTGTTGTTGACTTTAAACACAAGATACAATTAGTTACCTTAATTTTATAAAACATAATAGTAAAAAATATATAGAGAGAGACAAAAAGTAATCTGTAAGTCTTAATAATTTTTGCCTGCCATAATATCATGGACAGTAATTTTTTCCTCCATCTGTATACACGGATTTACCAACAGTTAACTCAGGAAAAAGCATAATGAGTTACAATATGTGTAACACAGGTGTAATTGTATTCAATCACTAATTCCTTTTCAGTAAGGAATGGTGAACTCTTACAGCCTCCAGTGGCTGAGGGCAAATCTGGGCAGGAAAATTTTTTAAAGGAGAGGCTTATAAAAATTAATTTTTTTGTATTTTGAAAAGGTAACAAAATTACATATTTTTGTTTGGTTTTTACTTTTAAGATATCAGAAACTTCTAAAAACACTGAGAACAAACACTTTAAGAAGACACGTTTTTGTGTTATGATCAGAAATCTATAGTATTTTAAATAAATTGATATTTTATAGGAAAAGCTGTTATCATTTTTTGTGTTGTTTTTCCCCCATCCTTACTTATTTTAAGCTGGATTACTGTGCAAGCCTGAAGAATCTTGAAACCATTTCTAATAAACAAAATTACAAATTTATACAGGTATGGAAGTATTCTTATAGTTATATAATTATTTTATACTGTGCCTCTTTAGTCATTTAGACATTATATCTTTCTACTTTGTAAACTTGTGGAATATGGGCTTGGAAGCATGCTTATTAAAGACCTTTTTAATTTCCAGAAGTACCATGTGCTATAGAGAATATTACTTGTAGATTGATACTACATATAAAGCTACATGTTATTTTTAGTGCCTTGGCAGATCTATGAGTAGCTGACTGAAATTCCATGGTGTGTGATTTTTGGGTCCTCACTAGCCTTCTTCATAAGGCCTTGCTGGTATTTAAAGAGATTGGTATAAAGTAGGGTATTACTCGGGCCAGTCAGTAGTCAAAAACCCCACCATACAAGCCCATGGTAGTCCAAAGTATAAACCAAGCAGCCAGGTCGCGGTACGCGGGCCTCTCACTGTTGTGGCCTCCCCCGTTGCGGAGCACAGGCTCAGCGGCCATGGCTCACGGGCCCAGCTGCTCCGCGGCATGTGGGATCTTCCCGGACCAGGGCACAAACCCGTGTCCCCTGCATCGGCAGGCGGACTCTCAACCACTGCGCCACCAGGGAAGCCCTGATTTATGTTTTTTAAAGTGATTCTATAAACTCTCTTTTTAACCACAAATCTTAAAGAATATACTAAGCAAACATTTCATAATTTTTTTCTTCTATCTCAAAGTGTCTCCTTTAGTCACTGAAGAATTGTTGAGAATACGTATTTTTAGAACTAACGTACATGTAACATTAAAAATACTCATAAGTTTACTTAGTTGTGGTGAAATCCATCATTCCGGTCGTTATACTTACTTTGAATATATTTCAATAGTGGTTATCTCAAACTTTTAAAAGTATGTTTAAATTTTTTCCTGTTAACATAGTTACCTTAGGTTGGCAAGAATGTTAAGAAAAAAAGCTGGCACAGTCCACAGAAGTAGTTGGTGCTCAGAAAAATACCGTTTTAGACACTTATTTGCAAAAACATATTTTGAATTGAATATCTGGTATCCTAGGATGCTGAAGAAATACCTCATTACTGTATTTGACCCCTCAGTTGAATTTTCAAGATATTCTCTTTTATCCCTGGGGGAGGGGATTAATTTTTTTTCTTATCATGTTTTTGTTCATGAAGTAAAATGGGTATTATGGTTGGGAGTGCTCAATGAAACTTAGTTTTTCATGTTTGTTTTTTTATATAGGGTGACATATGTGATTCTCACTTCGTGAAACTACTTTTTGAAACAGAGAAAATAGACATAGTACTACATTTTGCTGCACAAACACATGTAGGTAAGCATTGTTTAATGATGGGCAGATGTTTTTTTCCAGTGGCTAACTAGCCAAAATCAAGGTCCAATAACGGGGTTGAACAAGTAGGTACTTAATGTATGTGAAAGAACATATACCATGTTTTACCAGAAAAGCCCGTAGTCACTCTGTCATCTAGATACTTGGTGCTATTCAGATCCCTTGTGTTAGCGTAGGGTAAAATGTAACCTTGAATGTTATCTTAAAACTGAGTTTAGCCAAATCCAGAATTAGTGATTACTTCTGGGGAAATGGGTCTTCAGCTATATTTTTATGTTGTTTTTCTTAAGGTGGGGGGTAGATACACAGTTGAACATTATATTGTTATCTGTACTGTTTTGTCCTAAGATATCTTCTAATAATTTGTCTAACATTGTATATTGTGAAATGTAATATATATTCAGAAGAATTTAGAAGTAAGGTTAAATGAATAATGATAATGTGAATACTCATGTAGCCATCACCTAAACAAAAGAATGTTGCTGAACCCTCTTTAGTAGTAGTATTACCACTGCCTTGTTACCTGATTTTTAAGTTATAACTTCCCTTGGTGTTCCCTGCAGTTTTACTGTCTCTGTATTTATCTCTAAACAGTATAGGTTAGTTTTGCCTGTTTTTAGATTTTATAAAGATGCATATATAAAATAACATGAAGGGTTTTTGGTCTTGCTTTTTCATCCTTGGAGATTCATCCATGCAGTTGGGTGTAGGTATAATTCGTTCCTTGTCAGTGACATACAATATTCCATTCTAAGTATACACCACAATTCCTGTGTCTGTTTTACTCTTGATGGACATTTGGATTGTTTGCACATTGGAGCAATTTTGAACCATACTACCATGAGCATTCTTACACATGCATCTTGGTACACATAGATACACATTTCTCTCAATATATAACTGGAATTGTAAGATCTGCACACTTCAACATGGAGATAATTTCCAACTGTATTCCAAAGCAGTTATACCAGTTTCTTCTCCTGCAGGAGTATATGAGGCCTTCTGTTATTCTAGATCTCACCAAAGCTTAGTTGTGTCAGTCTTTTCCATTTTTGTCAATCTGAGTAGTGTGTAGAGTGGCATCTGATTGTGCTTTTAATTTGTATTTCCCTGATTACTGATGAAGCTGTGTACTTTTTATATGTTTATTAATAATTTCAGTTTCTTCTTTTGTGAAATGCTGTTGAAATCTTTTGCCCATTTAAAAAATTTTAAATCAGTTCTCATTGATTTGTTGGAATATATATATATATGTGTGTATATATATATATGTGTGTGTGTGTGTATATACACACACACACACACATTGGATACTAGTCCTTTGTTATGTGTATTATATATATATCTTCTCCCACTCTGTGGCTTATTTTTTCATCATTTTGCTAGTGTGTTTTGATGAACAGATGTTCTTATATAAATTCTCAGTGAATTTATATATCTTTTATGGTATGGTGAATGCTTTTTGGGTCTTAAGAAATTCTCTTTTACCCCAAGGTCATGAAGATATTCTTCTGTGTTATCTTTGAAAAGCTTTATAGTTTTGCCTTTCACATTTAGATTTGTAATCCATCTGAAACTCATTTTTATATGCAGTATTAGATAAGAATCCAATTTCATTTTTTTCTATTTGGATGCCAGTTGGACCTCTACCACTTATGGGAAAGTTCACCAGTTTCCACTGCGCTGTCATGTATCAAGCATCTATATGAGTATCTGTTTCTCAACTCCCCGTTTGTCTTATCTGTCTGTGCCTGTGCTGATCACACAGTATATTGACTAATGTAGTGTTTTCATATCTGGTAGAACAAATCCTTTTACTTGGTTAATGATAAAGTGGTTTTCCTTCCAACAGTTTATGAGATGCTTACCAGTACTTCCTGTTGTCAATCTTTGGTGGTTTTATTATATTTTTCCCTGATTATGAATGATGTTAAAAACCTTTGCATTTGTTTACTGGATTATCCTCCTCCCTTTGCTATTTGTATATCTCTTTAGAAGGTTTCTGTGTAAGTCTGTTTACCATTTTCAAGTGGGTTGTCAGTTTTTTCCTTACAGATTTTTATAAGTCCTTTATATATTCTGAATTCAAACCTTTTCCACTACCTTTTTTCCAATCTGTGATTTGCCTTTTCACTTCCTTTCTATTTTATTTTATCTCATCTCACCTCACCCCACCTCAACTCACATCACCTCACCTCACCTCACCTCAGCTGCGTTGTGCGATCTGAGTTCCCCAACCAGGGATTGAACCCAGGCCTTTGGCAGTGAGAGTGCTAAGTCCTAACAAGCAGACTGCCAGGAATTTCCCTGCCTTTTCACTTTCTTAATGATATCTTTTGATGATTTGAAATTCTTCATTTCAGTGTAGTCCAGTTTATCAGCCTTTTCCTTTATGGTCAGTGCTCTTTGCGTTCTGTGTAAGAACTCTTTTCCTACCTCCAAGGTCATGCAGATATTCTCTTATATTCTCTTCATAAAAGTTATTGTTTTGCCTTCTACATTCACATATTTTCCCCATATGAATATTAGTTTGACCCAGCACCATTTATTGAAAGAATCAACCTTTCCCCATTGCCACCTTTGTTGGAGATCAAGTACCCATATATGCATGGTTCTGTTTCTGGGCTCCTGTTCTGTTCCATTGGTCTTTGTCTATCCTTATGCCATGACCACACTGTAATTACTGTAACTTTATAATAATTCTTGATACCAGCAAAGCAAACCCTCCTACCTTTTAGTTCCAAAATTTTTTAAAATTTAAAAGCATTTTAAATTTTAGATGTATCATTTCTTTTTTGAATTAAAAAAAAGTGTTTCCTGCAATATAGCACTGATAGTTTTCTGGGTTCTAAGAATTCACATGTACTACGTAATTTGGGTTTAAAGAAATCATAAGTAGCAATGCACCTTATGTTATTTTTGACACCATTGCAGTTGTGGTGAATGAAGAAAAGTGAATAGAGCTTTCCTTAAGCCTGAGTCTACTGTTTAATATTTGCTTTGTCCCTTGAGTGGAATTCTTCTAGCTTTTTCTTCTTTTTTTTTAGATCTTTCATTTGTCCGTGCCTTTGAGTTTACGTATGTTAATGTTTATGGCACTCACGTTTTGCTAAGTGCTGCTTATGAAGCCAGAGTGGAGAAATTTATTTATGTCAGCACAGATGAGGTCTATGGAGGCAGTCTTGATAAGGTGAGCTTAGAAAATGACTGTTTCGGACTTCCCTGGTGGCGCAGTGGTTAGGAGTCCGCCTGCCAATGTAGGGGACATGGGTTCGAGCCCTGGTCCGGCAAGATCCCACATGCCGCAGAGCAGCTAAGCCCGTGTGCCACAACTACTGAGCCCATGCGCCACAACTACTTTTTTTTTTTTAAATAATTTTTAATATTTATTTATTTATGGCTGCATTGGGTCTTTGTTGCTGCACACAGACTTTCTCTAGTTGTGGCGAGCGGGGGCTACTCTTCATTGCGGTGCGCAGGCTTCTCATTGCAGTGGCTTCTCTTGTTGCAGAGCACGGGCTCTAGGCGCGTGGGCGTCAGTAGTTGCAGCACGTGGGCTCAGTAGTTGTGGCTTACGGGCTCTAGAGCACAGGCTCAGTAACTGCAGAGCATGGACTTAGTTGCTCCGCAGCATATGGGATCTTCCCAGACCAGGGCTCGAACCCATGTCCCCTGCATTGGCAGGATTCTTAACCACTGAGCCACTAGGGAAGCCCTGTGCCACAACTACTGAAGCCTGCGCACCTAGAGCCCTTGCTCCGCAACAAGAGAAGCCACCGCAATGAGATGCCTGCGCACCGCAATGAAGAGTAGACCCCGCTCACCGCAACTAGAGAAAGCCCGCGCGCAGCAACAAAGACCCAACGCAGCCAAAAATAAATAAAATAAATAAAACAGATATTATAAAAAGAAAATGACTGTTTCACCTACTTGCCCCATACCACCACACAAACCTGTCTTATGAAAACCTACTCTGGACTTTTTTCATCTTCTGATTATACACTTACGGGATTCCCCAGAATATTATTCCGTTGTGTCTTCTGTTCAAATCAAATAGTACCACCCCAAATGGGGAACGACAGCCTAGTCTGGTACAGATTTATATATGTAATTTGACCGACATATTTTGCAAGCGAACAGCAGCTTTTCCCTGATCACCCAGTCTTACATCATGAATGTCATTCCCATGGGCCAAAGCATGTGTAAGTTACGCTGCAGCATAAGGCCTGTCTCCCTTCTCTTCCACTCAGCAAAGCATATTGTACTGTCAAGGAGTGAGTGTGAAATTGTTGTAGAAACTGGAATCTGTTCTCCTTTGTTAATCATTTGTAAACATTATACTTTTTATGCAAAGAGAGGCTCCATTCTCCAGTCTGTATTTTTCATAGTCAGTGTTTACAATGACCTCATTTTGTTTTGTTTTATTTTTTAAATGCATTTATTTACCAAAACACGTACATAGTGGGAAAAAAACCAAGTAGTTTGAAAAGACTTATAATGAGTAAAAGCAGACCCTGACCACTTCTCCTCAGTGCCCAATCCCACTTCTGAGGAACAACCATTTGCAAACTCTCTTTGCAGTTTTTATCAGGTAAGCTTGTACTCCTGTCAGCCTACATCAGATCTGACACAGTAGCCAGAATGCTTTTTAAAATATAAGTCAGATCATGATATTACTGTCATCAAAACCCATCAGTGTTTTGACAGTGGCCTTCAGGGTTCCACATGCTCTGGCCTCTGGCTTTCAGACCTCATCTCACATTTCTCTTCCCTCACACTAGCCTCCTTGTAGTTCCATTGGACACAGTCTGTCTCAGGGCCTTTGCACTTGCTGTTCTGTCTGCCTGCCTTACAGGGTTGTTATGAACTTTAAAGAAGTTACTGCATGTAAAGTGCTTAGAAAAATGCCAGGCACATAGTTGGGTTTCAATAAATTTTTTTTTTTTTTTTTGGCTGCGTTGGGTCTTTGTTGCTCTGCGGGCTTTCTCTAGTTGCGGCGAGTGGGGGCTACTCTTCCTTGCGGTACGTGGGCTTCTCAGTGCGATGGCTTCTCTTGTTGCGGAGCGTGGGCTCTAGGTGCGCAGGCCTCAGTAGTTGCAGCGCGTGGGCTCAGCAGTTGTGGCTCGCGGGATCTAGAGCGCAGGCTCAGTAGTCATGGCGCACTGGCTTAGTTGCTCCACGACATGTGGGATCTTCCTGGACCAGGGATCGAACCCGTATCCCCTGCATTGGCAGGATTCTTAACCACTGCACCACCAGGGACGTCCTCAATAAATGTTTTTTAAATGTACTGATTTACATTTCAAGTTTGTAATATGTTCTCCGATTTTTCTACTTAGAAAGTATACCTTATACTTATTTTTTAATATGTCTTTTTAAAATTAGGAATTTGATGAATCTTCTCCCAAACAACCTACAAATCCTTATGCATCATCTAAAGCAGCTGCTGAGTGTTTTGTACAGTCTTACTGGGAACGATACAGGGTAAGAACTGACCTCAGAAACTCCAGAATCATTTTTCTTTGGACTTAGGTGTTAAAACGCCAAGTTAGCATTAGCAACATTTCATTTTTAGGATGGCAGACATAGATTAAGAAAAGTTATATATTAAGGAATTTTAAAAACTGATTTCCAATATTGTGTGGACAAAGCAGGGACCTGCTTCTTATCCAGTTCATCATTTAAAGGAATAATTTATGTATATATTTTTTTCTGCTTCACTAATAGGTAGAGTGTTACAGCTAGAGTGAAAAGCCCTGTTGGAATGTCCTGATTCCCAGGAGTCCTCTGAGTGAAGGAAGACAGTGGGAGGGCAGATTCCCTTACCAGCCACTGCTCCTCTTGGCCCCTCATGAAAAGGAGATAGATTTACCCCAGTGGCTGTGTCAGTGTCCGTGCAGGAGCCTTGCCCACTATGAATCATCAGCTGGAACCCCTGCACTTGGCTTCCCACTGATCTTCCCGAATTATTAGGGACTGGGTCAGAAAGGCGAACCAAGGGATTGCTTCAGCTTCTCTAGCCTTTTGTGTTCCAGTAGCACTGGTCTTTTCCCTCCACGGATGCTCTTTTTATTTGTAAGGGTTGGTCCAACAGAGAAAGCCAACTTGAAGTTTAACATCTCAGGTGGTCTCTGAAAGAATCAGGTAGAAATGTCCTTAATTTCCTGCTATCAGACCTACAAACCCGCCTCCATCTGTATTCATCCTTCCCTTGTCTCAGTGAAGACACTATTCCTCTTCTTCCTTTTGGAACCTCTGCCTTTATCTGAATCCCGTCCTCTCCTGTCTTTTCAGGAACCTTACATTAGAAAAAAAATCCCTTTGCTTCTGTCCTTAAGGTGTGTGGAATTATTCAGTCAAAAGTGCCCATATGTTAAAACTGCTTATCTTTAGATAATCATTATTATTGGACCCTTCCATTACCTTAATGTCGAACTCTCTTTAAGTTTCCAGTTGTCATCACACGAAGCAGTAATGTTTATGGACCACATCAATATCCAGAAAAGGTACATTTTACTTTTGAATTCCTGATGTGTTTTAGTGATTGTAACTTCTCATTATTTAAAATAATCCCTCTTCAGTTATTTGTCCAAAGAATTTATGTTGCAATTAACCGTAATTATAAATACTTTATAGGCCACATACAAATCTCATCATGTTTAGAGTTTGAAAACTTGAGTTTAAGTCTCAACTTGATACTCACCAGCTGGGATGACCTTAGGTCCTTTGAGCATTGTCTTTAAATCGACGGGTAATGATAATACTTAGGAAGGATTTTGAAGAGTCCAGTGAGATGATGTATGTGAAATGCCTTGTACTTTGCAGGATTCTAAAACACTATAGAGTACTCCCATCACTGCTGTCACACCAGTGAAGACTCCTTCCTAGTATGCAGTCAGACCATATGTCAGGCTGTACAGAAACGTAGACACTAGTTAGAGAGTGATGCAGAAGCTTGTACATAAACTTGTCTTAAAGGCAGCCGATTAGCTGTTCCCCAACTCCTCTGTACTGTTGCAGGCCTGAATGTCATCCAGAAAGTAGTTTAGCAAATAAAGAAATGTAGTTAAAAGGCGGAAAATGTGTGTGGTTGATTCTGTATCATTAAGCCCGATGTTAAGTAACTACTAGTCTCACTGCCTAAATTTACTTATTTATTTATTTATTAAAATTTGTATCGGCGTATAGTTGATTTACAACGTTGTGTTAGGTTCAGGTGTACAGCAGAGTGAATCAGTTATACATATATCTCACTGCCTAAATTTAGAGCTGGGTTTTCTCACTTCTTAGCCGCTGGTTGCCTTGATCTGTCTGCCCAAAGGAAAGGGCCAGATCATGATCTGCTGATATTAATATATATTTGGCTTAATTTTTTAACACTTATTATAAATTTAATAATTTCTTATCACCGTGTTTGACACAAATTTTCTTTGAATCCAGTGGCACTGGAATTACTTTTTATTAATTTCACAAGCACTTATTGAATAAGTACTGTATGTAAAGTAAAAAGTATATGATTCCTGCTCGTATGAAATCAACACAAAAGTGAGCTTGCAGTGAGAGAAAACTGTTCAGGAAGATTTCTTCTGAACTTTTTCACTATTTATATCATTTTATCTTCATTTTTATCTAGCAAATAACTCGTATTTGTGAAATAGGAAATGATCTTACAGTTTTTTTACTTATCAAAATTATAATAAGTGTTTCTTGAACTCCTGATAAGAATTAGAATTTGCCCATAAGTGTATTTCTTAGCAATAATAATCTTTTAATCTTACGATGAGTTCAGGTTTATATTAATGAATGAATTTCCAAAGTCTGAAATGATAATTTAAATATTCTTTTAGGTTATTCCAAAATTTATATCTTTACTTCAACACAACAGGAAATGGTATGTTATTTACCTTTGTACCCATGTTTTTCTGGTATGCTAGAGTATTTAGTGTCAGTGTTTCTTGAAAATCATAAAGTGTTAGAGTTGGAGGCCTTAGGATTTAATGTCCCAACAAATTTAAGAATTCCTTCTACAGTCAGTGTAATAGTTTAAACAATAATTGTAAAGTATAATTCATCTTTATAATTTAATTACTAAGATAATTTTAATTCTTAAATAATCCATCCTAAAACTTTGAGTTATAGCGTTAAAATTTGTCATCTATCTTTACATAATTTTACTTTTTCAAAAGATTTAACTGAACTGTAGATAGTCTTCAAAGTGACCTTAAGGTATAAAATTGATGAATAAATATTTCTGCAGGGGTCACTTACATGTTTGCCGCTTTCCTAGTGAGCACCCACAGTGGGTTTGGAGGTCAGTTAAGAATTATGGATAAAATCTGGAAGTCATGAGAATTTGTATTTTCAGTAAGAGATGTCTAGGATCTTCATGGGAATTGCCTTCTCTGGAATTGTACCCAATCATTGCCTTACCCTGGTTTGGGAGAGCTTACTTTTTTTTTTACACTTTATGATTCCCTTTCATTTCACCTTTTTAGCTGCATTCATGGATCAGGGCTTCAAACAAGAAACTTCCTTTATGCTACTGATGTAGTAGAAGCATTTCTCACTGTCCTCAAAAAGGGAAAACCCGGTGAAATTTATAACATTGGAACCAATTTTGAAATGTCAGTTCTCCAGCTTGCCAAAGAACTAATACAACTGGTATGTATATATTATAAAAGGGTAGTATTTTCAAAATGGTCACTAAATTAGTGGCAGTAATCACTAATTTTGTCAAAATCAACAATTTACACCTTTGAAAAGTGAACCGGTAAAAAAAAGAACTTCATAATTCCATATGTATGCAGAGATGTGTCATTATTTGAAACTGCATCACTCATTTAGTCGCAGTTTTTCAGGAAAACAGTTCCACAACGTTAAATGTGCATACCCATTGTAAGACATATTCAGTTTCAGAAAATCGAATGTTAAATTGTGTGTCCTAGAATCAAGGAACACTGATATATAGATTAATAGTTATGAGTGTTTTTATGTACTAGTGAGCATCGATTATAAATCTCAGGATTCAGTAAAAAGAGCGACTGAACGAATGGAAAACTTGTTTTCCTTTACACTACTCACAGAACACTCTGTCCTCCAAACGTGTGAGTTTTCCACGCCCAGCAATTCTCAGACACCAGCTCGGTGTCCTACTATTTAACTCAGTTCTGACATTATCTATCTGGAGATGGTGTCAGATCCCACAGGTTAAGGGCTCAGTCTCACAAGACTGCCCTCACTTCACATGTCAACCCCAAGACCTGGCTGTCACCTGTGCTTTTGATCAACGAGGTATAAGTCTGACGTAATTTGCAACAGGGCCTCACAGAATTTAGGAAAACAGTTTACCCACTAGATTACCAGTTTATTACAAAGGATGGAGGAGATGCATAGGGCAAGACGTGAGGGAAAGGGTGTGGAGCTTCCTGCCCTCTCCGGGTGTGCCACCTTCCCAGCACCTCCGTGTGTTCAGCAGCCTGGAAGCTCTCCTCTTGGGTTTTTATGGAGGCTTCATTAAGTAGGCATGATTGATTGAGTCATGGCCACTGACGATTAGTTCCACTTCTGGTCCCCTTCCCCTCCCTGGAGGTGGGGGCAGGGAGGCTGAGTTCCATCTCTCCAATCACATGGTTGGTTCCCTTGGCAAGCAGTCTTCATCCTTAGGTACTTTCCAAAAATCACGTATTAACCTGAACTCTGGTGTGGTTGAAAGGAACTTATGAACAGCAAAAGACACCTTTATCTCTCATCACCAGGAAGTTCCAAAGGTTTTAGGAACTCTGTGCCAGGAGCAGGGATGAACACCAAATATATATTTCTTATTTTAAATCGCAATATCACACTGAGTAATAACCAAAAGCCAAAAAAATTCATTTTCTCCTATAGTTTATATAATGTGTATTCTCTCTGAGCTTCAGATGGAATTCAGGTTATAAAGTATGGAAAGTGTTAATAAAATGCTATTCGTCTTAGCTGTCTTACCCACTTGGAGGAGGTTGTTTTTCTTGTCTTTTGAATCAGTTGTTGAATACCATTTTCTGGTCTCACTTTATAATTTGACTGGAAGGTCTTCTCCATTTTGACAGATCAAAGAGACCAATTCAGAGTCTGAAATGGAAAACTGGGTTGATTATGTTAATGATAGGTGAGTAACAAGTTAAAATATCGGGGAAAGGTTGTGAAATCTTAGGTACTTATAAGATTTTAAAATGTATGGACTTAGCCAGAAAAGTTTACCTTTTTTGAGTTTTCTGCTAGAATGTTTTTTCCTGATAATAAATGTCATAACAATAAACTGTAGCATTATTATTAGCTGTGTGACTTAAAGAAAGTTATTTACCCTTTCCAAGTCTGAGATTTCCTTGAGTGTGAAATAGGGATAATAATATCTTGCCTATGGAAGTATTTTAAAATTTATAATGTATATAAACTACCAGACCCAGGGCATGGAACATGAGTCCTAACAAGTTTATGTGTATTTATTCATTCATTCATCAAACATTTAGGTATGACACATTGCATTCATACCTAGATTGTGGTTGAAATGAGAAAAGGGTAAGCCACAGAGAGGGTTAGGCTTCTGGGTTATAGAGGATTTTTAACATATACTTTATTTTACAAATATATAAGTGTGTCAGCAGGGAGAATTTTTTGAGAGAAAATTTGAATTATGGACACACATTATTTCTCTCAATATTTAAGTTTGTAAATAGGGAATTTCCTGGTGGTCCAGTGGTTAGGACTCCACGCTTTCACTGCCGAGGGCCTGAGTTCAATCCCTAGTCTGGGAACGAAGATCCCTCAAGCCATGCAGCAGGGCCAAAAATAAATACATTTGTAAATTTATATCCACAGTATCATTTTAAATCTGTTTTGTTTTCCAAGACCTACCAATGACATGAGATATCCAATGAAATCAGAAAAAATACATGGCTTAGGATGGAGACCTAAAGTGCCTTGGAAAGAAGGAATAAAGAAAACAAGTATGTTATGAATTGATCATTTGCGGGGAGGGGGAGAATCAGAAAAATTTTAAGGCACTAATTTATTTTAGGACGCTACAGACAGTGTTGTGGTGAATCACTTTCACTTTTCAAATTTTTACATTTAATGTATTTCTGACGTTAGTGGTTAAGTATCCTGAATTATAGACTAACTTCCGATTAGGTGTCCTTTGTCTTGCTAGCATTTATCAGATGCCTATTTCGTTGGATGCTCATTTTCTCACATCCTTGAGAGGTATGTGTTTTACAATTGCTAGTGTCTTATAATTATCATTTCACCTTTTTTTCTTTCTTACTAATATGTAAAGTAATGGTCCATCTTAAGAGCAGGCATCTGAGATTTGGTGAAATAGAGACAGTTGCCGTCTTTGAGCGTCTTGAGTCTTTTTATACTGAAACAAATAGGAAGCAAATTTAGTATGTGCAGAAATAGCTATTAAAATAAGTGTATATATAGTCTGTGCATATATGTTAAATTCTGTTTAGAAATGTACTCAAGAGAAAAGATACCCAAGTGTAGGAAAAAGTCTCAGTTCAGAGCTTGACATACAAAATATTTGTGTTGAATTTGAAAAAGCAAATTCAGGGACTTCCCTGGTGGTCCAGTGGTTAGGACTCCGTGCTTTCACTGCTGTGGGCCCCGGTCAGGAAACTAAGATTTTGTAAGCTGCGCACACAGCGCAGCCAAAAAAATAAAAGCAAATTCAAAGATAATTTATTATTTTTCAACTAAAAAAACTTTAATAGGATAGCAACATAAAATAATTTTACATATTAACAAAAGGAAGTTGACATCATCTCACTGTGCCTATCATGCAGTATTGTGATGTTTACATGAACAAAATACTACACTTTTTTTCCTATGACTTTAAACTCAGTACCAGTGACTTATCTCCCTTTCCCCCTGAATTCCCTAAAATTCGAATGTTTTAATACTTGTACCAGCAAATTCAGTATTGAAGGACTTTTGAAGTTAAAAAGAAAAAAATTGTTGATTTTTAAATCTACGTTTTCAGGTGATGAAATAGCTTCTGATTAACATCATTGGTTAGTTCAAAATCAAATTGTTTTCGTCATTAGGCAATACTTGCCTACACGTTAGCTGACGGGCAAGGCTTTTCTTACTTAGCAGGGACTCAGTAAATATTGGTTAACTGATGTTTAGTTTTTTATTTTTGTCTTTTTATCAGTTGAGTGGTACAGAGAGAATTTTCACAACTGGAAGAATGCAGAAAAGGCATTAGAACCCTTTCCAGTATAACCACCGTGTGTATAGTCGGGACAGTTTTCAGAGAAAGAAGAAACTTATCCTACCTCAACAAATGATATGAAATCAAGCGACCAAATGAAGTGTCCTCTTTTCATTTGGAATTAGATTATGACTTTTTGTATAAAATTCAAATGTAAAATGCCTCAGTCTTTAGAAGAGGTTCAGTATTAGCATAGGATTTAAATATCAAAATTCTCTCAGAAACCTTTTCTCCTAAAAAGTAGGAACCAGTAAGCATAGAAAGACTCTTCTGTAGGTGTGGCCAGGAAGGAGGAATCTCCTGGTTCTGAGAAAAAGGACAGGTAATAGCTCTGGGCAGATGACAGCCTTCGCTGGCACTGAACTCAGCTTCCCATCCTTTCCCACTGCCTAGACAGTCTCTGAAGTTTTTTAGGCAGTATAGGATGAGCCTTTTGCCCTAATTTATCTTTTTAAGGTCTGATGTGCTACAATTGCTTTAAAAATGGAACAAATGGAAGCATATCTAGCACTTTTTATTTGATAATTTTGTACAATTAAGTTAAATATTTTTTAAAAGAAGGATGTCGTTTTTATATTTTCAAAATTGGTCATTGAACTATGTAAGTAATCTTGTATCAGAGAAATTTTATCATGTATTTACTGTTTAAAATGATTTTATTTATAAAATTATCAACACTTTATTAATGTATTATGTGGCTTTTTTAAAAGTAATGTATGTTTTTGTTTTGCTGTAAAAAATTTTTTTAAATATTTGATTATCATGTATTTTTAGTTCCTCTCTTCCCTAAAGACTTTAAGATGATTTGAAAAGGTAACTGATTGGATATTACATTCAGAAAAGGGAAAGGGTCAAAGACTATGCCCAGCTTTCTGGCCTCAGTGTGTGACTGGTGCCTTGTTTTCTCTGTGGAGTAGGAAGCAAGGTTATTAACTCAGAGGTGGTTGAAGGAGGGCGATAGGAGTGGCATAAGGGCCTGGGGCATGTGGAGACTGGGAAAAGTGTAGTAAGCAGATTGAAAATTAGTAAGGGGATTTGCCAAACAGGAGTGAAACACAAACTGAGGCCGAACACTGTAATTGCAGAATTCTGCTATGTGTCGAAATAGATTGAGCCAGAGCTGGGCTCAGTGTGAGGCCCAGGGACTAGAGTTGAGTGACATTGACTGAAATGATGGTCCCTGGTCTTAGGTGTGTAGGGAAGAAATGCTTCTTGGAGGTAGTCTGTAGCTCTAGAGAAAATGGAGAGGGGAGAGGGCCGAAGGGAGTGGGGGTACGATCTCAGGGAGGCAACTGTAGGAAGTTACAGGCAGAAAATGGGACCAACTGAGAGCAAATAGTCTTTGGTGAAGTTTGGTCATTGAGGGTAGCTGACAAAATAAAAACACTTGTTCTGTGTCATTTGTTCTTGCACATATTTTTGTGATCCTTCAGGCAGTGAAAATACTCTATATGATAATATGATGATGTCCATATGTCAATTTACATTTATCCAAACCCACAGAATGTATATATAACACCAAGAGTGAACCCTAAGATAAACTGTGTCCTTGGGGTGATTATGGTATGTCAATTTGGATTCATCCTTGGTTAAAAAAAAAAAAGCACCATTCTGGTGAATGATGTTGATAATGAGGGAGACTATGCATATGTAGGGACAAGGGAGTACATGAGAAATCTCTGTACCTCCCTCTCAATTTTGTGATAAACCTAAAACTCTAAAAAAATTGTCTTAAAATTAAAAAAAAAGAAAAGAACAACCTTAGAAAAGAAATCAGCTAAGTTGAAAGCTTTTGGTCTCCAAGAGCCCTCTGAAAGCTGCCCTTTCCTCCCTGCTCTATACTCAACTTGCCGCCATCTGCTTCCATTCCGCCTCCGCTGCAAGAGTTATCCCTGTAGTCGCCAGCCTCAGAAACCCTCCTGAGAAATGTCATCTACTCTCATCGCTTTAATTACCATCTTTTTTTTTTTTCTTTTTCCAATTTCAATTCCTTATCTCTATGCCAGGATCTCTTTTCTGAGCTTCTGATCTCCAGTTTGAAATCAGTTTGATAGGGCCTCAAAAATTTAAACATAGAATTACCATATGATCCAGCAATTCTCCTCCTAGGTATATATCCCAAAGAATTGAAAGCCGTATCTCAAACAGGTATACTTGTACACCAATGTTCACTGCAGCATTATTCACAATAGCCAGGTGGAAAGTACCCGTATGTACATCTACAGATGAATGGATAAATAAGATGTGGTCCATACAAACAGTGGAATAGTATGATTCCACTTGTATGAAGAACCTAGAGTAGGCAAATTCATAGACACAGGAAGGATAATAGAGGTTTACCAGGGCCTGCGGGAGAGGGGGAAAGTGGGGAGTTATTGTTTAATGGGTACAGACTTTCTGTTTGGGATGATGAAAAAGTTCTGAAAGTGGATAATGGTGATGGTTGCACAACACTGAATGCACTTACTGCCACAGAATTGTACACTTAAAAATAGTTAACATGGTACATTTTTTAATGTATATTTTAGCATAATAATTTTTAAAAATGTGTACCTAGACCAACAGCATTTTTATCAGTTGCTAGAGCTGCAAGTTCCTGGACTCCATCCCAGACTTACAGAATCAGAAACTTTGGGGAGAGGGCCCAGTGATTCTGATGCACACTAATGTTTGAGAACCCTGCTCTATAATATGGGGAGATGAAGCCAGAGAGAAATGTGGTGGCCCAGTCATGGATGGCCTTGTCTGCCATGAAAAAAGTGCTTGGACCTCATTCTGCCAGCAAAGAGTTATTTTGGGATCTTAAGGAAGAAATCGGACATCGTTAGATTTGTGAGATTTATCTAATTCCTATCTTCAAAACTAATAACGTGCTCATTACAGAACACTTGGAAAATTAAATCAATAAAAAACGCACACCAGCCGTTGTCTACCACTGGAGGATAACCCCTGCTAGTGTTCAGATGTATGTTCTTCATTTCATTTCTTGGAACATATATATACATTTTAAAAAACCAAAATGGGATCTTAATGGACGTACTGTTTGGGAGCCTGCTCTTTTTCACTAAGCAGTGTATCAGGAACATTTTTACATATTATGAGATCTTTTGCCATTTTTTTTGACTGCAGAATTTTACGTGTTTGATAGCTCATTCTGGCAACAGTATGAAAGATAAATTTAAAGGAAGGCAAGATTGAACTGCAGGGATCCAAGTTATGAAGTTATTGCAGTAAATCAGGCTGGTGATGATAAGGCCGGAAGCACAGCACTGCAAACAGGTAGCATCGGCGACAGACGTGGGAACTCTTCAGATTAAAAAAACTCGTTGATTGATGATACGTGGGAGGTGCACTTTCTTGGGGGGTATTTTAAGGTTTTGAATATCGAATTGGAAAGAGTGGAGAATGGTAAATCACATCTGGGAGATGGTGAGCTTTAGGGATCTGTGGGATATCCAAATGGAAGTATTTAGCAAACAAACTCATGAATCTGATGTTCAAATTGGTGGGCAGGGTTTGAGATCTACAGATACATATTTGGGAGTTAAATGGCAATTAAAACCCTAAGAGGGGTTTAAATCACCCGAAAGAGAACATACAAAATGACAAAGTTGATGGTGGGCGGCATGATTCATAGGCAAGCCATGAGAAATACCAAGGTTTTAATTGCAGGCAAGGAAGCCAGGGAGAAGATTAAGAGGAAATAGTTTTTAAAAAATAAATAAAAATAGAGGAGTAGAAGAGAACAGGAGGAAATAACACCACAGAAGCCAGTGGGACAGACATATAATAACAAGCAGGTGTCCAGTTGAAGTTCAGTAAGGCAAAGACTTGAAAAGCACCCACTTGCTCCAGCCACGCTGCAGGCAAATTTTCTAGGGTCGTTTTAGTGGAGTGTGGGGTGAGGGAGAGGGAGAGCATCTGGGTAATAAAGAATTGAGTAGTGATTAGGATGGAGGAATGGAGAAATGGAATTCAGACCAGTCTCTGCCGTCTCTCTATTTGCTTAAAAGCAGGACATAAAGTTGTAAAGATGTCCCCCCTTCCCTCCCTACCAGGAAGTTAACAGAAGTTAATCCCCAGAGACAACTGTACACCCTGATCAGCCCACAAATGGCACCAGAGAAATCTACGTAACAAACTTTACTAACCAGTTTTTTAAAATTTATTTTTGGCTGTGTTGGGTCTTCGTTGCTGCACGTGGGCTTTCTCTAGTTGCTGTGAGTGGGGGCTACTCTTCATTGCAGTGCAACGGGCCTCTTGTTGCGGAGCATGGGCCCTAGGCACGCAGGCTTCAGTAGTTGCGGCACGCGGACTCAGTAGTTGTGGCTCACGGGCTCTAGAGCACACGCTCAGTAGTTGTGGCACACGGGCTTAGTTGCTCCGCAGCATGTGGGATCTTCCCAGACCAGGGCTCAAACCTGTGTCCCCTGCACTGGCAGGCAGATTCTTAACCACTGCGCCACCGGGGAGGTCCACTAACCCGTCTTATCTATTAAGATAAGTTCCCCTTATCCATTAGTTTCCCTATCTATATATTTACCTTCCCACAATTTGCTACCCTAGAAACTTGGTGTTTTTCTTTTGTCTTGTTACTTCTCTACAAATTTATTGTTCTTTTGTAAGATATAAGCCCCAGTTCCAACCACCTTTTTGAGTTACTCATCACTGGGTACTTCCATGAGTATATGCAATGCACAGGTTAATAAACTTCTGTTTGCTTTTCTCTTGTTAATCTGTCTTTTGTTAGAATAATTTTCCATCCAGGAAACCTAAAATAATGGGTAAAGGGAAAACAGATTTTTTTCCCCTCTACATCCCCAAAATTCTCTTTATAGGTTGTTTTTTCTTTGTTTTGTTTTGTTTTGTTTTCCCTGTACCAGGCTCCAATAAAGGTCCACACATTACTTTTGGTTATGTCTTTTTAGTCTCTTAAATATAGGGCTCTATCTCCATCTTTTTGATTTTGTTTTTCATAACATTGGTATGTTAAAGACAGCAGGTCAGATGTCTTAGAGAATGTCTCATACTCTAGATTTGTCTAGTTATTTTTTCATGGTGTCATCTAACTTATTTCACCATTTTCTGAATTTCTTATAAACTGGAAGTTAGGTCTACCTAGAAGCCTGAGTAGTTTCAGGGCAAACAGTTTTTGGCAAGAAGCCTTCGTAGGTGATTCTATGCACGTTGTATTATAGGACTAGGAGGCCCATAAAAACTGGCTGCAGGAGTTCTATTTACACTGACGTATAAATGATTCCTAGCAGGCCCTTTTCTGAACCCAGAGTTTTATCAGGAGACAGTGAATTGAAAGCAATTAGGCCTCAAGATTCTCAGAGTAACATTGGCATAAGATTTCTTCCTGTGCTGGGGGAATGGGCCAGGTTAGTGTAAGTAGCAAGATTCCGCACTAAGGTCAAGAAGACCATTTGCCTCAAAACCCAACATCCCCAAAGTGCATGTGGACCATAGATTTAAAAGAACTGCCGTATTTCAATAAAGCTGGTCGAATATAGGGACAAGCATGGTGCATTGTGACAGCCCTGGCCTGGGGGCTCAGAACAGGGCTCTGGTCCCACCTCTGTCACCAAATGACTGTGTGACACTGGGAATCATTAGCCTCTCTGGGCTTTTATCGACTCACACATAGGATAGAGGCTGCTGTCCCAGGTGATCAAAATG